ACACACACACACACACACACACACTGCATTTGTTTTGAAATGAATTGTTTAGAAATTAGACTTGAATGTAATAGCTGAGGAAAGACCCAAATTCAGGGCATTGTGGACTATATACTTAACTCTTCATAAAACAGGTATGAGAAATATAGGAGGTACAGCATTTGTGACTTCCCAAAGAAGGCTATTAATCTAATTAAAAATTCATTAATGTTTCCAACTCCCTTTGTCTATCATGTTGCTCTGAATTTAGCCTTTCTTTAGAACCAGTAAAAACTGCTAAAGAGTGAAAGTCAGATAATTTCTTTCACTTCTTTAATGTATTAAAATATTTCTCCTTCAAGCTTTTTAAAGTGTTTCCCACCCCACCCCCAAACTCTATCTCCTGTATATTTCACCAAACTCTAAAATCACCACTAAAGGGTGTGATATCAATAATCCATAGGTATTCTAAATGTATTAGATTAATAAAATATACCTTGAACAACAACCTGGCTGCCTGGGACAAAGAACTGCTGTGTGCCATCAGCTGATTGTGCTGCATACTGTACAATTGTAGCACCTGGTGGAGGAGCTCCTGAATTTGTCATTGTTAATGCCTGTAGTCCCTGAACACCATCAGATCCTGGATTAGAAATCTGGATTGTTCCACCTTGGGCTATAGCAACTTAATAGAAAAAGAAAAGAAATATTAGAGAATTTCAGGATTAATTTTTAATAACCCCATGTTGGGAGATATACTCTGGGTCTATGTATTACCATTACTTCTCATTCTCAAATTACCCTTATTTTTATATGCTGAATTGATAAGGAACATCAGCTTCATTATGGGAGAAGATATTGAATGACTGATTGATTTCTGTGGTGTTGGAGATGGAACCCAGGGCCTTGCACATGTTAGGCAAGTGTTTCAACACTGAGCTACATCCCCAGGCCAGGGATAAGACTTTAAAAGTTTACAAACACCTGAGTATATTTAATATTTTGAACTTTTAGAAATTCCTGGGACCCATAAAATTTTTATCCTCCCTGGGATCCATCCAACTAAAATTATTTAAGAGAGTGGCGAGATAGATGGGAGAATGTCCAGCTTCTTGGTGTTCTCCATTCTCTCCTATATTTTTAGTTATAAATAACATTCTTCTAAGTCTTAAGAAATGCTCAGTGGAATTTCCATTAAGCATTGCAATTATAATGATTCCGTACCTTCATTCAGCTATTTTTCTAATTTATCGTCAAAAGACAGTGTCTTTTAAAGTAACATGTATCCAAAAACTCGACTATAAAACTGTAAACGATAACTTTAACTATGGCAGAAGAATCCTGTAATGTAAAATGTTAAGTTGAAAAGTTCTTTACCAGTCAACTCTATTGAAAGAATTTGTGCTATAATATTTATCTCTACTAAATGTCTGGAATACAACAAAAATGAGGTAAGGTTTCTCTAAATACTGAGATTAGTTAGTCATGTTTAAAAGTTAACATATTGACTATAGGTAAGCGCTCTACCACTGAGCTACAATCCCAGCCCTTATCTATTGTTTTAATAACAGAAGATCAATCCTATCTTGGATAGAAAGAGCCTACTCTCAAGAGAAAAATAATCAGGTCGGGATGGGGCTACACCCCAATTACTTTTACTGGTTTTGGTGAAAAGTTTCAAAAGAATAACTGATCAAATGTTTTGTTTTAGAGCTGGGGATGTAGCTCAGTGATAGGGCATTTGCCTAGTGCATGTGAGGCCCTGTGTTCCATCCTCAGCACTCCAAAATACATAAATAAATGGCTAAAATGTTTTAACATTTCTCTAATGGACAAAAATGTACTATTTAAAATATCTAAGAGGTCTGCTATACTTTAACATAAAGATTATGATTGCATGTTTTAGTTTAAACAGTAGAGATTAATCAGAACCAATGGCTATCCTTTTTTAAAAAAAGAAAAAAAAAATCATACATAAACTAGCTAACTACTTTACAATGAAGATTTTAAAAGCCCATCACCAGAATAACAACATGTATGGATAAAGGTAAGTGCCTTATAGGAATATTATAATAGTATTTAAAACATACTCCAAATACATTCAAGTCATTTTCAAACATTTTTAATAGCATCTAAGCAAAGACCACTTAGGTGATAATCTGATAACATAAGCCTATTAGAACTACAGAAAGAGTAAAAGTAACAACAACAAATTTTCAGTTCTTTCACCTAATATTCTAGTACCTACTACAGAAAAATGGGTTAACACTTTTAAAGTTTTCAATACAAATGCATGCCGTTTTTTAATTCACTGACAGGTTACTATTAGAGTAGGATTGACAGAAACTGAAGAATCAGTTTCAAAATGCTGAAGTACTAAAGCTGAAAAACCCTGTGATAATATTAATTTATCAGGCTTCTTTAGGACATTATATTCTGTACACATTTTAAAAATAGGATATCTTCAGCTGGACATAGTGGAATATCCCTGTAATCCCAGCAACCGGGGAAGCTGAGGCAGGAGGATCAAAAGCTTAAGCCAATCTGGGCAACTTAGCCAAACATTGTCTCAAAACAAAAATAAAAAAGAATAAGACAACAGGATCAGAATTTCAAGGCCAGTCTCTGCATCTTAGCAAGGTCCGAAACAATTCAGTAGACCCTGGTTCAACTCTCAATATAAAAAAAAAAGCGGGGGTGGGGGGGTTCATGCAAAGGTGGGGAACAAGTGAGAGGGGCTGGGAATGTGGCTCACGGTAAAGTACTCTGGGTTCAACCCCTAGTACCAAAATAATACCAAAATAAAAATAGAATATTTTCAAACTATAACTCTCCAAAGATTCCAAGGATTTGGCCTTCATATTTAAGGGGTTTGGGAGAGACCTAACTTTTTTAAAAAGAGAAATATAAAAAAGCAAGGGATATTGCTCTCTTAGGTCTTCATGGCTAGACATAAATTTTATATTTGAATGCGTGTTTTCAGCTGATAATTAGTTTGATGCTATAGAAATAATGCTTTAAAGGGAAGAGCCAAAGGCATTAGAACCATGATGTGTAAAAGCACAAAGCCTAATAGAGAGCAGGAGCTCAATAAATGAAATGAATGGCTACCATTTTCTCACAACATACTATATTATAAAGTTGTGACTCCAAAAGAGTTAAATGAGACATGATTTCTAATTCCTATTA